CTTCAAGCTTATTAGGTATTTACATCAGAGGGCACTCAGCCTATTAATAGTTGTCTTTTTTGCATCATTATTTAGCTGGAATATAACATTTTGTTTAAGTTTGAAAATTTAGAAGTAGTTTTGTTTCTTTTTTGCACCAATTCCCTGTGAAATTCACCAGTAACAGTGGCTTAAAATATCCCCTAAGCTTAATGTAGCTTTCTAATGCTTTGTTAGATGTGGTTCATCTACCTCTGTAAAGAAAATAAAGTGAAATTCTTAGGAGTTGAAATACATTTTTACTTTTGTGCATTTTCATGCCCCGAAAACCAATCAGGGACAACATGTGGCCGTGACCTACTGTATGGTGAAGGAGTGCAGAGGAGGCACACTTCCTTTGATCAAAATGAAACACAGAGAAAAAAGAGGCAGTTTCCCTACAAGGACTCTTCATCAATCAGCTTCCACCTTCTCTTCCCACTGTGGCCCTCTCTCTGACCGGTGGACTTCTCAGATGTACATCTGTCCTCCTCGATTTCCCTGTTGTTGTTCCTTAGCTCTAGGGGAGTGCACTGCCGGCCACCTTCTCCCTGTGTGATCTCTGCCACTGTTCCTGCACTGATTGCCATCTCACCCTTCCTCTGTGGTCCTAATGCAGGTCCTTGAACTGGGTCAGAAGAAATTAGAAGTACAGCTGAAATCGACTGTAATCCAGGCATAGCTCCTGGAGGAGGAGGCGGTGTTCTTCATACTGGTTCCATCTAAAAAAAAAATCAGGTGAACCCAGGCATATCAGCGCACTGCAACGTGCTCCATAAAATCCACGTCCCCACGTTGAGTGAAACCGACTGCCACCAGACTTGATGATATAGTGGAGCTTTCCGAAGGCAGAGTGAATTGCTTATACTGGCCAGGCCAATTTCTGGCAATGTAGTAAAAGCACAGAAAACAGGCGACTTCTTCACAGGTTTTCAGGTCAATGTGAATAATAATAATGTGTAATGTGCATCAGCTCCAAAATGTATACTTACACAATACATTTGTTAGCCAGTTTATTCCAAATGGAGTTAAGGAATTTTATGCCAGTGATGTATTCGTTTGGATGACATCTTACTGCAGCAGATACAGAGAGCTGGAAACATTGACAGATGAGAAAACAAAGAGGGATTGAAACATGCTTTATATCTTATATTTGATTGCACTGTGATATCAATATCTGCATAACTTGCTTATAATATACAGACTTTTTTTTTGTAAACCCATACATTTAAAAGTTAGAGATCCAAATATGTATGCTTGACTTCACATTCAGTGCATTCACATCACATTAAAAATGTTTAATCAAGCATTTCATGAACTTTACTTTCAAACTGTTTCCATAGGGATAAAACCTGACAAAATCAGCCTGAATAACGTTGCTGGTATTTCTGTTTCCACAAATATGTAAATTACTTTAGATCTTGTCAGATGGCTCTTCTCTTGTGACGTAACTTTGTATCTGAAGTTTATATTTTTTTTTCTTGTTTTGTTTTTTTTATATCCTTTTTTTTTAATCCTAAGCCATTCATTATCAATGTCAGTTTGTGCGTCTTAAATCTGTTTTTGCATTTTCTCTAATTCTCACACAAAGCAAAGTCTCGTTTTAATTGATTTTTTTTTTGTTTACTTCCTTCTCAACTCTTTTGCTGCATTTGCCTTTAATTGGGTTGTTTGATTCGACTTTTGATTGACATAATTTCAGAAAAAAGAAAGAAAAACTCAAAATCAAAGGCAGATCAGTCAGAAAAACTTAATACTGAAATTGTTTCTAAAAAAAAAAAAAAAGGGCCTCAAAAATAAAACTGTTGGTGAATTTTTGTCAGGCAGATATTCTCTGACAAGTTAGTCTGTAAGATTTGTGACAAGGTCTAAGTGTTGAGACAACTTAGCAGGATGTGCTTGAAGGCTAAATACGAGTCTATTATCCAAAGCATCGTCTTCTTGTTAAGGTTTGAGAAAATATCTTAGCAACGCTCCCTTCGACTCTTACATTAATTTTTTGATGTAACAGTCAAATCTTCTTAGATATTAATAGCATAAAATGTAAAGAAAGGGCATTGTCAGGTTAGTTGAGATTTATAGAAAGTAAATTATTTTCTACAGAGCTGCTACTTGGAGCTCAATTGATTATACATATTCTTTTTCATTAAAGATTCTGTGCATCTAATTTAAAATGTGTGAAGGCAGTTAAAATACTTTTGTGTGAAGATTATTATACTCTAAATTTAATTTAATAGGGATATTGTTCCCAGAAAATGTGTCTGGCATCACAGAATAAATAATCATTGAGCCCTGACAAACACTCACTTACTTCCTGTCCTTCAAAAGAGACAAGATGTTCTGGCTCTCTGATGTCGAAAATAATTACAGGGAGAGATCATGGTGTTTGACAGCAATCTAATATTCCTACCATCTTTCATAATTACTTTGAAAATAATGTCAAATAAAATGCATTTTTTGACGAAAACATGTCATGAGATGAGGTGACAGTAATGGTGAAACTTTCTTCAAGACGTTTATGATTGAACATGGTTTTTGAAGAGCGAGGCATTCTAGTTTCTCAGCTTGGTACAATAGTTTGATTTCTCTTTAATATATATATATATATATATATATATATATATATATATATATATATATATATATATATATATATATATATATATATATATAGTATGTGCAATAATAATTAAACTTTATTGATCTCATATTGGAGAAGTTTACCTCGTGGGGTGCCCAGGGAACAATCGGGTGTAACAGTCTTGCTCAGAGAGCCAGGGTGGCAGTCTGAGGAAGTGGTCTTCAAATGCACAACCTCAGGATTCCAAGCTTTATGCACTAACCACTAGGCCACCCCTCCCCTAAGAACCCCACCCGTAAGAATGGGCCAAAATCACCCCTGAACAGTGCATGCGACTAATCTCTCCTTACAGGGGGTTACTTTAAGCTGTCATTGCTAACAAAGGCTTTTTTAACAAAGCAAAAAATACATTTCAGTTAGTGTTTTCAATACTTTTTCCCTGTGCCATTTCATTACATTATACATAACTTAATTTCTGGGCATCTATGGCTTGATTTCTTTGTATGTGTCATGATGGGTACTATTTCTAGCCCAAATGCAGAACACCAGGAGACAGAGGAAAAAGTTCAAAATTTATTGGAGAAACCACAGGCAGGGAACAGATGCAGGAAACAGATCTGGGGCTGGTCACACGAGGTTTAAAGTTCAGTGGTTCAGGCTGAGCGTCAGGAGATGGGAACCAGTTGGGTCCAGAGACAGAGGGTTCAGCAGAGAGCTTAGCTGTGGCAGAGCTTGGCTTCAGGCTAGTGAGGTTCAGACCTTGAATTGTTCTCCTAGTTCTCCAAAGAACTGGCAGGGAGATGCAGGCTGAGGTTCTTCAGGTTTGGCTTCTCAGAGCAGGCAGGCAGGTTTCCCAAGCATGAGCTCCACCAGAGTTCCAGGTTTCAGTCAGGATCTTCCTAGAAGAACAGAGAGGACAAAAACTGATCAGGATCTGGTTCAAGGTTTCAGGGGAGTCAGAGAGTTAGACAGACTGGTTGGCTCAGGTTGGCTACCGTGACTTATTCAACACTCTGGCGCTGAAGAGGAGTCAAGCCGCTGCTTAAATAGTTGGTCTCCTGATGGGATGATCAGCCTCAGGTGTGCAGGTGGCTTCAGCTCAGGAGACCCAGGGCGCCCTCTGCTGGAGAAGGGGGCAGATCCCCAGATCCCAACAGTATGTGTGGATTTCATGGATTGTTCCCGACATCTGGTGAGACCGTCATGCCAATAGCACCTCTAGATATGTTTCAATCTGAAAAACTCACACGAAGAGAAAAGACAATTAGAAGAAATGTATTGATACAATTACTTGGTCCTTGGTGCTCGACCTCGGCAGGAAATAGCGATGAATTTTGATAGACATGCATGAACAGTAGCAAAGAACAGGGCTGTTTTCCCGCAGGCCTGAAACTGGTGGTGGAGTGGAGATAGATTAAGCTGGTCAGTCTGTAGACTGCTGGTTAGAGAGACGGTCTGCTGAGCTTCATTGGGAGATTCAGTGGATTGCGTGAGCTGATACTAGAGCTTCACTCAGGGACCTGGAAGATGGAAGTCCAGTTGGATAACACAGGTTGAGAGAACCTGTCCATGATGAGCAAGCATGAAGTGACAGTGGAGAGGAAAACTCTCCATTGGGAAGAAACCTCTGGCAGAACCAGGATCAACGTGGCGGTCTTCTGCCGGACCGGTTGAAATGAGACAGGGAACGTAGTAAGAGCCCCGGAGGAATGAGGGGGGTGGGGGGTGTTGGTGGGTTGAAACGGAGTCAACTGAATGAAAACACACAGCGCAACCACCGCCTGTGCACAGGAGCAGATAAGTTCGGATCGGAGGCCTTTTAAGATGAACTTTGGATGCCGATTGGCTTTCATGTGGTGTGTGGTTCAAAGCTGATTGGCTGTGGCGCAGGTGGATGTAGGAGAGCAATTAGTTTCTTCAGCTGAACTTATAGGCTCCATACTGTAGTTACTGAGAAAAACGTTAGCATGTTCCATACTTATTTTACCCACCGTACGTGACCAAAAACCCAGTGTTGTGTCAGGCCTGTTTCTATTTCAAACTTGACAGAGGGTGCAAATGTCAATTAAATACTTTTTTAAATAATGTTTTTATTTATTTATAGTGCATTAAAAGGCGTTTGTGTTTCTGCTCTTGTGCTGCATTTTGGTCCTTATGCTTTTTTTTATGATTCTATTGGATAAATACATGATTTCACAGCTAATTTAAAAGGTCCTTAAATATCTTACCTTAAATCCTAGCTGCTGCTGCTAAACCGTTACCGACATTCCTAACATTTTCTGTGTATGGCTGCACATATTGATCTGTTCAGGTGGTGATGTCTGGTTTAGATCATAAGTTGACTGTCCTCTGAAAGTCAGTGATTTGATATTCATATGAAAACCCTTCACTTTTTTCCCAGATTATCGATGATGATGAGACTCAGTTCATGACCAACTGTCCTCCTGCAGTGACAGAGAGCACGCCACGCAGAAGAACCAGAATACAGGTGTTTTGGACCGCACCGCCCAGTGGTACTGGCTGCGTTATTCTCAAGTGAGTTTTATTCTCATCTAGTTATGTTATTAACTTTATATTCCGAGATGCACAACATATTGAATCCCAGTTGTCCATTAAATATTAGTGTGAGCGGTACTGCATTATAATAATATTTCTTGAATGTAGGAGAAATATCAGTTATTAGAAATCTGTATGTATATTGCACAGTAACCGCCAGCCACTCTGTCTGGCTCTGTTGCTCACTCTAAACCTCTAGTTCTGCTGCTCCTGTCTGAACTTCAAAGCTTTCCCTTCCTTTACCCATGTTGTCCTGGTGATCATCCCCTGAAGCATGATAACAGTTTCAGGTCCTGGTCAGACTGAAGCACCATAATCCAGTCGTACCTCCTGGACTCCCTGAACTGGGAGCATCCTTGGTGGATCAGGCGGACCCAGGGACGCCAGTTGTTTGGCTCTTTCCATTAAATCTAGCTGTGTGACTCACTCAGGAAGATCCAGGTCTCACATGCTGAGTTAAAGCTGGCAAGCAGATAGAAGCTCTCTGTATTTGATGACACACAGCAACAGCATTGGAATGATGCGGAAAAATCACCGGAATCATCTTCAGTGTGAGCACACCATTAGGCCTATTTCACTCTTTTACAAAGGAGAATGAAGCTCTGACCAGAAAAAAGGAAACTCTCCTAAGGTTACAGGGCTTTTTTTTTTGTTTTTAACTTTGCAAAAAAAAAAAGCTCAACGTACTATGTAAGAATATCCTATGTAAGAATAAGCTTTTTTTTCTGTCCGTCCTCTGCAGTAAATTCCTAGGACCAGTTAGCCTTGCTCCCTAACAAACAGCTGTTACTGTCTTAAGGCAAGAAGATGAAAAAGCCTATTCCAGATGTTCAGTCCGATACAAAGTTCAACTCAGCTTTTTGTAAAGGGACCATCTCCTCATTGCAGAAAGTTAAAGATCACTGGGTGGTAATTAGTGGTTCAAAGGAGTAGAAGTTTTGTTCATTCTTTATTACATCGTTAAAAATAAACTCTGAGGGAAAGACTCTAAAAATACATTTTTTTTAGAATAGCATGGTGGCATTTCTTTAAGATTTTTTTTAGAGTCAATTTTGAATTCCATAAAAAGCAATGTTGGACTCATTTTTCTTTAGGGGTGTTCTCACTTACAGTATGCTGATGGTATTCTTGAAATAATCAAACTGACAAATTCGAGAGGCGAACTGCTAACGTCTATGTTGGAATATTGTGTTCCATCCGTCCATCCATCTATTCATCCATGCATCCATCCATATAACTATCTGTTTATCCATCCATCCATCAGTTTATCCATCCATTCATCCATCCATCCATCCAACCATCTGTTCTTCCATCCACCCATCCATATAACTATCCGTTTATCCATCCATCCATCCATCCATCCATCCATCCATCCATCCATCCATCCATCCGTTCATTCATCCATCCATCCATCCATCCATCCATCCATCCATCCATCCATCCGTTCATTCATCCATCCATCCATCCGTTCATTCATTCATCCATCTGTTTATCCATCCATCCATCCATCCATCCATCCATCCATCCATCCATAGTTCATCCAGCAAATGTTGACTTCAGACTCCAAAGTAGCCTCCTTAGGATCGTATTAGAACATTAATCATTTATCCACAGCAGCCCATTTGTGCTTTCAGAGCTTATTGTTGAGATTTTTGAATTAAGCAGACAAAGCTTGGCTGATAAATATGCTTTAAAAATCCACTTTCATATTCTTTCCTACCAAATTTGACCAATTTTTTTCTTCCCTTTAGGGTTATTCACAAAAATGACAAATTAAGTACATTACTTCAAAGTACATATTTTATCTCCCACTCTTTGGAGTAATCTTAATTCAAAATCTGCTATCCCATGGTGTCACAGTGCTAGCCATTATGAGTTTTTAATTATAAGTATAAATAAAAAAAGAGATTAACTTATGCAACTGTGAACTATGGACCTTAAAAAATCCAGATTTTCCCAAAATTAAATATTCATAAAACTGGATAATCGATACATTCGGTTATTTGCTCTACCACAGCTGCAACTGGTGGTTTTTCTCCTCAGTAAGGAGTAATATATCAGGGAGGCTGCTGCTTGACTGATCAGTATTTTGCCAAACATTTTCAGGTTTTTCAGATCCACCCAGAGAAAAGTTGTTGTGCACCATCTTTAACTTTTCATCAGCAAACCAAACTTATGCTGGTGTTTATCGGTTCTCTCTGCTCTTTTTGAGCTGCAGACTCCTGCTACTTTTGCAGTTGTGTTTGATTTATTTGATACCAGCTTCTAACCTTTGTTCTAGCTTAAAAACCTACGCTGGTTACATTTTGTGACCATCTCCTGAGGTTGATGTTATACTATTGGAGTAAATTCATTTACCTAATCTGTGTCAGCATCCTACAGTAAAATGTGATTAATGAAGAATGAAAGTAAATTGGTTAAAAAAGGATCTTGAGGTAGCAGTTCTAAAAAAAATATATTCAAACTCATATAAAATAGTTATACTTGGAAAAATATTATGTGATTTTAGCAAATAATCCTTTCATTTTTTCAGATCAATTAAATTTCCTTTTTTCTTAGTTTTAATTAAAATCTGATTTAACTTAAACCTATTTGAATGTAAAGAAATTTTTGCCTTAAAGTCATTTGTGGCATCACAAAAACGTATAAATAAGTTAAATAATGAAATGATTAACATTCAATTTTGATTAAACACAGCAGACTTCTGACGTCAGTGTTCAGCCTCCCGACTGTCGTGATAAACACATTTATTTTCAACAGGTTAAAAAAAAAAAGGAGAAAAATGCAGCAGCGGGCTGTTTTATTGAGTAAAAATGGTTGGTTAGAAAAACAGAACAGAGTCAGAAGAGTGAAGCCTAAGAGCCCTGAGGGGCTGATTTTCATGCACATCAACTACAATTTGTGCTTCTATAAATGCTCTGTTCTCTAAAACAGGAAGCACTCTCTATTAATATATGAGATGAGATGTTATTTAAGTGATGTGCCAACAAAAACAAAATAAATGTACATTGCATGAAATGATGGCAACGCATACCTTTAAGGCACTGTTTGACTAATAAGAAATATAAATGGTAAACAAGTCAAAACTTAGAGAGAAAAATGATTTTTTTCCGACTCGGTTGTGTTCATTTCTTTCTCCTCATCGGACTTCCCAAAGGGAATAAACCTCCTGACATGGACTTCCTCCTTCCCTGAGCGCGGAGCTTTATCTTACCCTCACCTCCACAACCCATATAGCTGCTGCTTTAAATTTACTGCTGTTGTATGGCAGATGGCATGTAGCCATCTCAGTATTTCCTGGTTTAATAAATCTGGCTCTTTGTAAAATAAAATCTTCTATTTGTGTCAGACAAAGATGTAGATTATCAAATCTGGTTAAACATTTTCTAACCTCATTTAGCTTTAAAGGCTCTTTATATTGGCAACATTTAGGTGAATAAATGTGCTATACTGGGGTGAAAAGTATTTGACCCGCTAAATACTTATTTTTCCACTTTATTGTCACACCTAAATCTTTCAAAGCGAACTGAAGCTAACTCAAAATGAAGACCTAACTGTGTGATATTTCAAAGAAAACAAGATATGTAAACCAAACTGACCTGTTATATTAAGAAATTGGTGAATTACAACCAAAAAGAAAACCATATTACATTGTTAATGTAAAGAAAATTAGAATAAGAGAGAAAATGTCTGATATTTGCATCCATAGTAAAGTTTTAGGCAAAAGCAGCCAGATCTTTAAGATATAACCTAAAACGCACAACTCCTGCTTACAAACCTTTCTGTTTTAGCTAATTAAAATGTCCTCTGTATAATCTGAAAAAAATGTTATTGCTGAGAATGGTGTAACCATTCGTTCGGTTTTGAGCATTTTTTTTTTCCCGTTATGCCTGGTAATTTTTTGGATAGCTTCTTTTAATTTATAAATGAAATTAAACTGGGTGTTTGTTTTTTTTTTGTTTTTTTGTTTTGTCTTAAATGCTTGATAATCTGAAACATGCAATATAAATCTTTATATTGAATACTTTAGGACTTTGTTGACACCAGTTCTGTTTGATGAAGTCCAGTTTTGCTTGTAAAAACTTTAAAACTAGTTTCCTATTCAAGATTCTGTCAAGGAAAGAAAGCTCTCACTCAATGTAATAATCCATTTAGCCAAGCATTTTGTCCTTGTCTGTTTACCTTATGGTTTTATCCCTGCGTTCCAGCTCTATTATGTGTTTTTCTGGAGGATGTGAAATACTTATCTCTGCGTTCACTGGAACTGGATCCAAGTCAGAATTGGGAGTTTTCCAATATAATCTTTGTTCCCTGTTGGACTCCTATTAGCTTTCTTTTTTCTCCCTCCTGGGTTTAAGATCTAATAACTTGACACATCTGCTATCTCTAGCTGCCAGTTGAAGCTGGATTGTTGGAAATCAAGGAGTTTTTTTTTTTTTACTTTTATTATAAGACCATAATTATACTCAAACAACTACAGATTATACAATAAACTACATGTTTTAGAGAATCTTCTGTAAAAATATACAGTATGTTGATTTGACAAACATAACACAAGATGATTGGTCTCTCACTGGTTTGCAGCTGGCAGTTTGTTTGTTTATTCTAAGATAATGACAGGGAATAGGAAAGATCAGTCTGTGATATAAGCTTCATAGCTTTGAAATTATAGCTACTATAAAGTAAGGAAAACCTTTTGAACAACAGGAAAGGTTCAGAGAAAGTCAATTTTAAAATGTTATAGAATCACTTTTTTTTATTTTAAAACTATATAACTTATCCATCCATGTTCCATCACTCTTATCCCATCTCAGGGCAACACAGAGACAAACAGCAATTCACTCTCACACCTAAGGAGAATTAAGAGAAACCAATTAACCTAAAATTCATGTTTTTGGACTGTGGGAGGAAGTCAGAGTACCCGGAGAGAACCCATGCATGCTCAGGGAGAACATGCAAACTCCATGCAGAAAGACTCC